TCACATTATCAAAATGTAAAGGATAATATCATGGTTTATATTGGTGAAATTATTTATTGCATACGGATTTATTAAAAAAAAAATGACACAAGAAAATCTAAACAGGCAATTATAAAACGCGTAATTTGAAGAATCATTTAGGGGTGCGACAAAGATCGTACTATGTATAGCTTCCCGGGTTCTAACTCAGTTTTATGATAGTACTCCATTGTGTAAAAGTTAACTTCCTTAAGAGATTACTCCTATTGGTGATGGGACAGATAAAAATAAGGATTTAACCTTGTCGGTACCATTATACCGTATAATGGTTAAATCGTTATTTATGACTGTCCCATCACATTCTAGGAAAGTTAACTTTTAAACATCATAAAACCGAATTAGAACTGGGGAAACTATACCGGTTGAAAGCTTCGAGCAATTTTTAAGTGTGCAGCGTTTGCTTTGTGCTAGCTTTGTATCAGTTGTGCAATATTTATTGAAAAACAGTTTTATCCAATTTGTTAAGAAAGGTCCACTGTATATCCCTGATTTGATAATTTTGTTCATAACAATGTGAATGTTGTAAGCGCAATGTTAATGTGGTCAATTTTTGCATGTTTCCATTTTTTCCACAAAAAATAGCCTTTTAAGTCAAATTTTAATAAAACAAGGAGAAAATATGTCTAGCAAGGATTCTTAAGAAAAAAAACTCAAAGCAAAATTTTCCTTGTTTTTAAGCTAGAACAAAATTGGGAAGAAAATTGTCCCAAACCAACCTGAGTCATACCGCCTTATCCAAGAATTAATAACTATACCACACAGACAGTAATTTTTTAATTGAGAAATTACATAAAATCCTCACCAAACTTTCCCAAAGATTGGGAGAAAACACCTAAGGAGTGGAAGACCTCTCTGATCATACCTGTTCATAAAAAAGGATAAAATTTTGATAGACTATACAGCAAAATTTTAAGAAACCGCATTGACAAAAGTAAGTACTTAATAGACAAATTATAGAAAAAAGGCTTAGACGAGACAGAGAGGTACATTATGCCGTTATAGACTTAGAGACGGCATACGATAACGTATCAATAAACAATCTTTGGACTACTATGACACACCTCGAATTATATCCTAAACTGATTCAAGCGACGATGGATCTATGTAAATAAAATACGCCAAGAATAAATAAAAAACGGAAGCATGATTTCAGAAGAATTCGTGGTTAATAAAAAGGACTTCTGCAAGGGTGTTGCCTATTGCCCACGCTTTTTAAGACATTTATTTGAAAAAAAAAAAATTAAAAACGTAAAAATCAATGTCAAAATATGAGAAAAACAATCGCTGACGATAAATTATATACATATATATAAAAACCTAAATATTTGGCAATAATTTTGACAAGACAAGAAACCAGTCGCACTGAAATTAAAGAACAAATAAATAACATAGCAAGAACCTTGAACTGAAATATTAAATAAGAATCAAAAACTAAAGATTAAAAGTTCAGAACCTCCAATAACAAAAAAGTCGCCTACAACTCCTATTAGAGTAATTTCTCTGACGGAGACGCCGGATTTGTACGATCTCCTTTTTACGCACAGCAACAGGTCCGCACCCCCATAGTAACAAACCGCCGTAAAAAGATAAGTCGCCTAATTCAAACACTAATTCCCTCGATACCGATATGATAATCGGAGACAAAGTATGACTCATGTCATTCACCTATGGCACGCATAGTTTTATTGTGCGAATCGACGATTAATTTTAATGGGCACTTCTCATCAAGTGTAAGCTAAAATACTATCTTAAATTAACGGATTTAAGATTCAACGAAGCGTGTGCATGACATTTGCAACTATACCTAAAATTTTTAAAGTCTAGTGTAAATTTTTTAATGGTGAGTAAACCGTTACTCGAGTGCTCGTATCAAAGGATGACTAGTTGCAACAAGCAGTATAATAGTATTTACTATCAACATCTTCAAAAATACTTTAGATTTTAGAGGCGTATAAAACTGAAAACGTTTTATTACAGATAGTCAAACTTTTTTGATGTTTTCCCAGTTTATAGCAAAATATTGGCACAAGGTGTCAATATTTTGAAACATGCATAAACAAGTTAAAAATATATATATTTACAACACAGCATTCGTTTGTGTGATAACAAGGACACTGTTAAGTTTTACTATAATAAAAAAATGACGAGGAAAACTATTACCTTCTGCGGTAAAATTTAAAAAATGCCTGTTACTCAGCGCATGTACACTATATTCTAAGAATATTCAACTAAAATCGTAGTTGTAAATAACGAACAATTACTACATTTTTCTACGCTTCGGTACGTTTTACGGTACAAGCACTAGTTTTAGTGTGTGGTTTTAATTACTAAAAATAATCGTTACTTAAATACTTTCAAACATTTTAATCGTGTGATAATAAAATTATACAAATAAAAAAGTGTAAACACCAAAATTGATTGAGATAAGCTCATTGCAGGCACGTGTAGGACAATAAAATTCTATACATTCCTCTGTTGTAACAGAAACAGCATCTAAAATTTGGAGCCTACTCCTATCGATGTGATGCAATTACATTAAACACTAGTTACATCAATAACTTATTGTTGACACAATAACATAAAAGAAGAAAAAAGATTCCCAAGTGATAAGTTGATGTGTACGGTCCTAAAGTGGTTCTTTTTATCCAACTACCATCATTCATAACATTTCAACGTTGCCACGTTATCAATTACTTGGTGCTAGGCTTATTTTTAAGCTCAATTGTATTTCTGTACTAAACACTACTAACCTTGTCTATAATATACCATAAAAATGTTGGGTCACACCTCATTAACTTTTACAAGAAGCATGTTGCAATCAAGTTGACAGAACATTTGAACCCAACTGATTAATTAAAGACAAGTAATTGCGTTATCTGTCTAATGTGTAGCTTTATTATTCATCGAACGTTTGCACTTGCTTTCTATATCTCCAAAAATACAAGTGGATGTAGGAATGACCGATAAAGCACACATTTATCTAACCCCAGACAAACAACGAAACTAGACAACCACAAAACGACATTACATAACTCATGGTCCCACCGGTCAACTTATCAGTATTATTTAATTTGGTCGCAAACTGTTACGCACCAAAGATAATAGAATGACATGGTCACAAAAATGAACGAAATAATGATGCAGAGAAAATGAAGAAGAGATTTATATATTGTTAGAGTACAATTTTTATAAATGTGTTATAATGTTACAAGTGTTACTGTTCTAGATCTCCGTTGAATAAAGCATTGTCTACGATAATGTAACCGTGTCCAATTATATGATATCTTCTCTAGTTGTTCTTATATAATGAAATATCTGACGAGGTTGGTATTTTTGAAACAATTAATAAAAATTACGTGAAAAGCGGTGGTGAAAGTCGTTTTTAATAACCACAGTCGGTATTTATTTATACCTGTATATTTTGAATGTCTGATGTAAAAGCTTCCAGTTTGTTTGTTTTCGTTTGCACAGTCTATATCCAAAAGCAACAAAATTACGCATATTATAAAATTGTGTCAACTGAAACGACAATAAATTTAGATAAAAATAATAAACGATAATTATACGGGGTTTTATTTATAAATTAGCAGTACGTTTCTGGGTCTGCTGTGTTATTTGTCCAGTTATATGACGCAGATGACCATGTGAAAATCACAGGATAGCTCGACCTTTGATAAGGGGGCTCCATGTATTTGTTTAATATTATTAAGAAAATGTTTACGTTTGACAACACTTATCTGCGGTCAAAGGTACACAAATATCCTTAAGTTATTTCTGTTTTTAACAAACTGGATCACACCAAATCTGTGCATCTTTGAAGACAATTTATGTAGAAAGTACAAATTAGATTAACGATGGTTCGGTCTGACGTTGTTTGGTGATCGCCCACATTCACCAAAGTAAAAAAAGCCCTAAAAAACTCCAGCACCTGTTGATATTGTTGAGAAAGAACTATCATCTAATTAATGTAAAAATAACTCTGGCTGCCCGTTAGAACCACATATCTCAATATATCTTGTGTCTGCGGAAAAGTAGAACGCACTACTTACACCAAAAGACGAACAAGATGCACCAAATTGATGACTGACCTCTCGAATATATTTTGTGTTGTCCGCTAAAAAATCGTCTCCTTTCTAAAATTCTCTCTATCGAATCAACAAGTTTATATAATACGTAATTATATGCGTACCTCAATATAAATAACTTCCCTTTGCCACCTTTAAGCAATTCCTTGAACTACTGGAGCACACCAACAAGCCGAGCTTCGTTGAACTTACATAAGATAATGAATGCCTCAGCAAGAAATGTAAATTTCAACACGAATACATTTTTTATACAGGCAAATAGCCTCCATTACAAAAATTCAGCTGGTGTTTCAAGCGGATTAAAGAAAATGATTTGAATTGAAACGTTACTTCAATTCCGCCGAGTGCTTCTGCGAAGTGTAAATATCTTAAATATGTTCATGCACCATAAAATTATTTTTATTCTTATAAACACCATAAAAAGCAGATGATAAAATTTTCAAAGAGATATATGAGCCGGAGGCATACAAGGACGCTCTAAATTTTCGTAACGTCTATTGCTTTTCTGATTTATTATTATATAATGAGGCAGTCTTGACAATAAGCCGACGTTGCGGCAAGTGGCACTCTGAACAAAGAAGCGATTATGCATTTTATTTGTACTAAAGTTTTATGAAACTTAAAACAACTCACGTTTCGCGTTTAAATGTACATCTTTACACCTTATGATTCACGGTTCGTCACTGTTTTAGCATAATAATTTATTGTATATTAACATAGTTGAAATTAGGACAGCCGGAGTGATGCTCACTTATTTCGCAGCAACATCAATTTAGACTTTATTATAGTTACTTAACCGTTGCTTGTAGACAGGGTTGTGACAAAACACCGGTGTCAATCATATTAGACCTAAAATCTACGTTAGTACGAACATACCTGACTTGGAAGCGTTGCTCTTCTCGGTCTTGGTTTTCTTTTGTGCTTCTGAAAAACGAATTTCACATTAACAAAGTACGAAGTTAATGGGCCAATTAATAATAAATTTACTTTAGAGTGTACTAATTTCAAACGAAACTCCGAAATGAGTCCAAGTTTGGCAATAAAATAGAAGCGGATCAAACTAACGCCATAAAAGAGTAATAAAACGACTTTTTTGCATCAAAGTAATTATAAGATAAATCGAAGACATAGTGACAACTTTTTCTTTATTCCGCCCACCGTAATTTTATGGTGGCAATATTTTTATTAACTTGACTAATAAAGTATATTCTCGAAAATAATAAAAAAAAGCTGATGTAACCAACATCCAAAAAATATTTGGTTTTTGCTTTACACTTTTACGACAGTTATTAAATTAAAAGTGGGGTTAGAACCATCAGATATTTAACGTTTTGCAAATGATTCATCTTCACATTTTTAACACGTGAATGAAAAGAGAAGGCCTGGGGGTAAAGTAGAGTCCGCCGAATAGTGATCCCTGACTTTCTGTTTCCAAAAACCCCAATAAATTCTGCGGATTGTAATGATTACAACGCTTGTCTGATTTTGATCGTTATAACCTAAAATGTTGCAATGCGCATGTTCACTATTTGATGGACTCTACTTTATACACTCTTCTACTTTGTTATCATAAGTACACCAAGCCTCTGATCACTTACACACATTGATACTCCATCAATCACAAAAGAATTGATAAAAAACTTCAACTATACGAAATATATCTCAAATTAGGTTCCTTCGGTGAAATCGCGTCCGGTACACTAAGCAAATGCTTCGAACTATTTGCATCAAAAAGCGCATAGTTTCATCAACTTGCAAAACATGTTTTTGTTTCGTTTTAGAAACGTCTGTTCCCAAAACCCATCTCCACTAAATTTCTACACCTGTGCTATTAATGTTAGCATTACATGCAAAATCACACATCATAAAATATATTACGCTTCAACCTACATCAAAGAAATGTAAAAGTCTACACGATAAATTATCTCAAAACCGCTTTCCTGTCCGAATTGGTGTATTTATTCAGAAGAGGTTGTTTTTGAAATAATAAGTGACCTTCAGGTCCCGGTAGCTGTATTGAAATAATTTTAAACATCGATAAGCCATTTATCAGGTCTTATTTGTACTTTTCCATAGTGCATTTGTTTATATATTCAATCTCGTTTTTAACGGAATACGAGATTGACCGGAGTTATTAGTCAGGTCTTTAACCCCTGCCAAAGCTTCCCTTCCAATACGCAAATCCCCTGGTATGATAATAATCAGGATCTAACGAACTCACCACGAGAAAGCACTAGCACATACCAACATTTAATCGAAAAGTATCTTGTAGTTGTAAATCCAGTTTAATGCCAGCGCAAAGAGAGATTTTTTTTATAACTTCTACTATATAATCGTAAATGGGTCACTATGAGTTTCAAATCTTGTGTGAAGTCAAAAGATTAACTATCATTATAACAATTCATGCTCACAAGGTCGGTCATATTTTAAATATTTTAACTTGACTAGATTCCGGTAAACTCTCCACTGTAACGTTTTAAACGCATAGTTGAAATTTTTTGAATTCTACATGACTGCGCATTAAAATTACGCTCATTTGAGTTACACAACAAGTGAAATAAGATATCAATTGATTCCAAAGTTCCAAAAAAAAAATTAATAAATAAATAAATAAAAATGTAAATGCAAACATACAACACAACTGATAAAAAATGAAACAAACACAAACAAATACGCTAAAAAAACAAAAACTGTTTCATCGACGTCTATTATTTTTATTGAATATTTCGTAACTTAACTCGTATTATACAACAATAAATTGATGTTCAAACTACCGCAAAAAAAAGTCTGGATGCGAGGAACAAACAAGTGATGGTAAAAAGGAAAAAGTCAGAAGGAACAGATTAGGTAATCGCGTTTAGCCACTTCAATTAAAAAATTAATCATTTCGAAAATAAAGGTTCGTTTAAATCACCTAATTACACGTTTATGCTCATTAAATAAATTTAGCAAATCGAAATGAGATAAAATTAAATTGACTCGAGTACTTCCTGCAAACCATTTGTCGAATGAATTCCTGTGCCTCGTCAATTGTTAATCACAACAACTTTCAAACATTTTTAGTTGTTCATTAATTTTAATTAGATTAAATTATTTTTGTTCGGTGTCTAAGAATAATTAAATTAATTCACTTTTTCGTCATCCCGTAATCACGATTGCTAAAATTAAATTCTCGTCATAAACAATTTTCATTTATTTTTACATAATTTCTGTTTAAAAAAAAATCAACGCACATAGTTTTTGTGTCTAATTGATAAAATTATCGATTTTTTTTTATTTTGTAAACACAACGACATAAAAAATTGAACGTGAACACGTGATGTAAATTTTAAATCTCTGTTAATAACTATATATATATTTAACCTTGAATAGGTTTAAAGTTCAGAATCGTAACATTTGATACAGTTACACGTCGAGGTAACGAAAATGAAATATTGGAATATTAAAGGTTAAAAATAAACTAAATCACCAGAAAAACACAAAACACATCTATAATAATAAAAATGTAAATTTAACGCCAACATAATCTTATCTTTTCAAAAAATAATTATCGTCACAGTTTGATAGTGTCAATTTACAATAAGAAAATTTTGTAAAAATTATTTACCTCTGACTTTCGGTTATTTGGTAATAACCGAATATGTAAAATGTAAAGATTTGATCATGATAAACATGTAAATATACGTTCAAGGCTACTACAAACACGTGCCGCGACTGTGAATAAAAAACTCTAATTTTATCATTTATCATTAAATTGATATTCAAAATGTGACAAACAAAACCCATTTATTCTAACTATATACTAAAACAGAATATTAAGAAAGCATTCAATGTCTGCGTAGCTGAATAACAAATTTTGTAAACAGTTACACACTATAATTATGGTAATAAGGTGAGTGAATTACTTAACTAAAAGCAACTCGCCAATTAGCTTCTGCATTTATTTTGCGCTTTGGATGTTTTTCTTTTTTGCATTTGATAAATAAATCATTACATACATTGCGTTTGTTTACAAATTGACTTAATTCATTCAGTAATGATTTCGCACTTCGGGCTTGAATTGAGTTAGTTTGCGAAGTGTTAACTGGTGTCAAACGTCAAAAAATAAAAATTAGCATAGCAATGACGTCATGGAAGTGCACAATACCCTTTTGATGCAAAAAAACATTCATTGTCTTTTTTGATTCGCGAAATACAACGGATTGGAAACAGGTTGCTGAAATTAACGATATTTTTTATAGCGTACCAAATGAAGGAAAAAACAACACGATAAACAACTCGGTTGGAAATTATAGGTAAACCTGTACTGTGTGGTATTTCGGGATATAATGTTATTTTTAAATAAAAGTGTTGAGTAATTTTAGAAACAAATTCAATTAAATTGAGTCGATTTGGTTTGTTGCGTAATTAGCTTTGTGGCAAAATAGCAGCGATAAATCTTCATTTATAAAATCTTGATCCCCAAAGAAATTAGCTTCAGATAATTCTCTTCACTCACACGATAGAGGACAAGCACGACTTTAAGTAATCTATAGGGAGGACTTATTTCCACATTTATTACAACAGTATTTTCTAATTTACCGTAACAAAAAGTTCAAACGTTTTGTAAACTTGAACACGAAAAAACCTCAATTGAGGTAAAAGTTGTCATTAGTGCCACCGAGGAAAAATACAATAACCATAAGTCGGTATGGTAAATAAAATTACGAATATGTAGTCCATACTTTTACGGTGTGTAAACATGTGAATAATAAATAACTAACCGCAATAATAGTTTGATTTTGAGTTTTCCTGCCATGCTAAAATCTATTTTTTATTATTTATGCCGGCAAACGCTTTCATTCCATTGGTTATATAGAAATAGCAACGAAGGTCGAACCAACTGGTTCGTGTCAATCCTATCAAATTAAAAAAATTAAACCATCCATTACTATTAAAGAAAAACCCCGTTCCTTTATTTATGAGAATTCCACAATCGAGTCAATAGACAATCAAAGACAGATTGAAGGTCAGCTCGAGGGATAAGGATAAGGTTTTCACGTCTGCTCCTTTCATACAAACACACATTTTCTTTTTCTATTAGGTGCTTTCAGAAAAAACATGTACAAAGCACCGTAATATAAGGATTCGAACTTTTTCCAATGAAAAGTTTGTGGTGCAAATTTAGCTTCTGCCATGGCAACCTACATGACACTCAATGACGTCAAACGGTCTCCAAACAAACATCAAGTCGATGTACCCTTATAATATCGCCTCTACTTAAAAAAAATGCTATAAAAGCCGGTGTTTTCGATGATTCGATTTTCAATATTCACGTGCCGCCGAGCTTTTCGAATGTTAAAAAATCCACCAATGCCTAATAATTTACGTCAGCGTTCAATCAATATTAAATAAAAAACTATATCTAGACCTAAATATTTATGTGAGTAGGAAATAACACGAAATACCAAAAATACTTTCAGGGTACCAAGTCCAAAAGTATTGTGTGGGCGCAAAGTTAGTACAGGGCGATTAAGATTTGTATCCCAAGTGACTCATTCGTTGTAATTAAAACAGACGAAAAGCAGCACAATAGCTCGAAATTGTAAACATAAAATACGCTTACAATATTTGCTTCTTTTTCTAAAACTGACGCTTTTAACCTGCGAAACGCCGAACCAACATGTTCTAGGATTCTGGTCACCTACGTCAAAGCTGCAACCGTTAGGAGGTGGAAGCTAACCCAAATCGTCTACTTTTCGGAATCTGAGACGACTTAAACACGTAAGCGTGTCTGGGGGACCCCGGATGCTATGAACTCGGAGTGCGCGGCCACGAAGGTCAGTTTCCAAAACGGAACAGAAAAAAAGTTAGTTCTGGCCCAAATTTCAGAGTTTTGTCGGACGTACCAGGAAATACTAACAGTTTTGAAGTTTTAGACACAA